TAAAAAAAAAAGATTTTATTTATTTATTTAATAGAGAGAGAGAGCACACACAAGCAGGGGGTAGCGGGAGAGGGAGAGGCAGGCTCCCCGCTGAGCAGGGAGCCCGATGTGGGGCTCCATCCCAGGACCCTGGATCATGACCTGAGCTGAAGGCAGACGCTTAACTGACTGAGCCACCCAGGCACCAGATACTGTCAATCTTAAAATTCTTTTGACAATATTCATGTAAAAAAATAGTATCTCATTATTATTTTGTATTTACTATATTACTAGAGAGATTGAATATCTTTTCATATGTTCATTGGTTATTTGTATATCTTTTGCTAATTGCTTATTCATATTTTTTGTCCTACACACAAAGATAAAACATTTCTTTTTCTGCTGGACTTACAGGAGTTTTTCCTTCGGTGACCACAGTTCTTGGTCACGCCGCTTTGAAGAATGAAAAGGTAAACCAGACGAAGAGTGGTGGGCAGCAAAGCGAAGTTTCTTGAGCGATAGTAAAGTTTATTGAGTGACAGTACAAAGCTCCCGAAGAGGGAGGGGACCTGAGAGGGTTGCTTAAGATGGACCAGGATCTAATGTCGAGGCCTCGCCCTGGCCACAAGGCAGTGCGCCAGCCAGGGAACTCGAGTCTGGGCTCTTCGGGGAGTTACTGTCTCAGCTCCCAGCTAAGAACACACTGTTATGATGGCTCCTATTTCTCTAACCAGTGTTGCCAAGCAGAGGTCAACGTTTGCTCCAGTAAGGTATTGCCAGGCTCTCATATGGGGAGGTGGGTCACCACTGGGGGAGAACCCTTTGCCTTGGCTGGTGGGGAAGCTGGTAAATAAGAGAGGCCACCCCTGACCACCTTCTCTACGTGTCTTGCTATCACATTGTGCCCTCTGATATCGTTTCATTCAAATCTTCCCAACCGTCAGGCCCAAATACCCTAAAAACTTGCCGGAAAAGTGTCCCTTTTTGGAGAATTACTCAGGAAACAGGAACACCCACCCTGCTCCTCTCATTAGGTCGTATTTCCCTTTGAATAAACGTGGCCCCGGCCTCTATGAATGGGATGAGTTGATCCCCGGGAGCCAGGGTCCACCCCCAGCCTGCAGGCTGAAGATTGGGCCCCAGAATGTGGTATCTGAGCAGAGCTGCCACCCCAGAGACCTTGAGCAGTCGGCCAGGCCCACCTGGTCCTCACAGGTCGCGCTCCTCTTGGATCTGCATTATAGGGGGATGGCTCTGGCTACAGCGTGGGTATGGGTGGGTGCTTGGGCGTGGGACAGACTAGAGGCAGAGGGCCAGGATGAGGCCAGCGACCTTGAGGACAGAGAAGAAGGCATGAGTCTGAGATGTTTAAGGGCAGAGGTGATGGGGCCAGGTGCCTGACTGGGTGCGGGTAGGTGATAATGAGCACAGTGTCTTAGGTGACACAAAGGTTTCCTGAGACCTGATGGGCTTTTTACCAGAAAGGACGTACCTGAAGAGCAGCAAGTTTAAGGGAGAACCAACAAGGTTGAGTTTGAGGTGCACACGGGAATTCCCAGTATAGATCCCTAGAAATAGGGCCATTGGCTCTATGGGTCTGGAGTGTAGGAGAGATGTTCTAAGCTAGAAATCCAGATTTGGGCCAACAACAAGTATTAGCAGTTAAAGTAAGAGAGGCTGAGATCACCTGGGGGGGACTTCTGGACAGAGAAGAGAGGAGACGCAAGACAGAGTCCTGGAAAATGCCAAGGTTTGGGGCTATGTGGGCTGGTGGGGGGCAGAGGTAAAGGAGCCATCGTGGAAGACTGTGAAGCAGCAAATACAGACAAGGAGGGGTCAGAATGCGGGGAAGTCAAGACAGGAGAGAATTTCAAGAAGGAGGTAGGCAGTGTTGTCAAATGTCACTGAGAGGACCAGAAGGTAGGTGCCCAGAAAGGCCCATTGATTAGAAGTCACTGGTAACCTTTGTCGGGGCAGCGTCTGTGGCTGTGGGCCAGCAGAGGGAGGGCAGTGGGTGGAGGGGTGACTGGGGGGTGGGGGGGACACTCCTTGGAGGAAGGAGTTTTTGTGAAGTCACAGGCAGAGAGAAGACCCCCGCCCAGGAGATGCAGGGTCCCCGGGGAAGGCTTGTCAAGATGAGAGTCGAGAAGAAGAGCCAGTCAAGAGGGAGAGAGGGAAAATACAAGCGGAAGAGTGGATAAATGAAGGAGAACCTTCTGGAAGGAGCCCGAAGGCTGGGGTCCCCCTTAACCAGGTAAAGAGGCTGTGGAATTAATGAGCCCATCCTCATCGCCAAATCTAGTCAAAGAAGCCGTCAGGGGGGGCGCCAGTTACTTTCTCTTTTATAGGGGTTTAATTTTTTTCAAACCCACTTTGCACCATATGAAGTCTACAAGGATGATCTAACCAATTATCACATAACCACACCGACTTCAGAAGAGCCTGATTGTTGGGTGGGATTTTTTCTTCAGCAACTGGCTTTCCCAAGTGATCCATGAATTGAACTATAATTACCCTTCCATTCAGGAGGTAATGGGCTGCTAGGAGAAAGATCAGTCAGGGGCCAGAGAGCCCACCTCATTTTCCCAGCAACCTCGGCAGAAGGTGGGAGGAGAGAGGCATCCAGATGTGGGGTTCTGATCGGGGTGCTCTGAAACAGGGCCTCATGGGGCCAGACTCTCCACAGGAGTCTGCCGGGGGGCCCTGCCACAGTTCAGGCCACCACCATTTCTTACTTCTGACTCACTGCCCATGGCCAGGTCTTCTGTCAACTCCATTCTTTGTAGCTGGGCCAAAGGCAATGTCCTGAAAGGCAAATCTGACTCTTGTCACTCCTTGCCCCAAATCCTTTCATGACTCTGCATTTTTCTTTGGGGTAACCGTGGCTTACAAGAACATGCCTCATCTGTCCCCTGCTTGTCCCTCCAGGCTCTCCTTAGAGCCCACATGCCTGTCAATGAACTTAGGTACTTGGATGGTGCTGCTTTGTCACCTCCTGTTCTTTGATCATGCTGTTTCCCCAGCCTGGAAGATTCTCTCCCCTGTCCTCCTTGTCCCCAGTTTAGACATCATGTCCCCCAGGAGCCTTCCACAGCCCCTAAGTTTGAGTCAGGAGCCCCTGTTCTTGTCCTCCTCCCTCCTCCCTGCAGTCCTGACTGCAACTCTCCTTTACTAGCCTCGCTCCTCCGAGGACAAAAATTGTGCGTCTTATTCACTAACGTATCCTAGTGCCTCGCACGTGCCTGGCCCTTAGAAGGCACGCTATAAATCTTTGTTGGATGTATGAAGGAATCCTCTTGCACTTGGAGCTGGAGCCCTTCCCGGGGGCTGCAGGAGGAGAACAGAGGCAGAACACATGTTGTGCTCCTTCCAGAACATTCTGGTGTCTACGTTCCTAGAGAAGTCCCAGCTATGCCCTCTGGGCTAAGCCTCAGGCTCTCCTTGTCCAGCTCCTCTTAGGGCAAGGGGCCCATGTCCTAAAGATTTTAGCTTTGGGGGCACTGGTTCCTTCAGAACTTAACATGCTTGGTAAGTATTCACTCCTATCACTGGATCACAAATGTGAGGCCAACACTCTAAGCTGGCCTCAGTGGTCTAAGGAAGAGACTAGGTTGGGGTAGGGGGCTGCGGATCCACACTGCAGCCCTCCTGACCCCAGCTGGGCAGGCGTTCTAATGATCCACATGTCCCTCCTGCCTCCTCTCATTGGAGGCTGGAACACGTGGTCACCCCTGTGAGGAAATGCAGAGACCCAACCACGCACAAAAGCTGGTGAGCATTCACACCCACTCACACATATGACCGCGTATAAACACTCATGTTCTTTGGTGTGGATGTGGGTTTCAAGGTCATGAGCTTCACGTGAGTGTGATGGGCTGGGGGGAGGGGCGGACACCAGCATTCCCTCCATCCCTTTCCCCCAGCACTGACTGCCCTGCGGCTGGTCATAAGAAGGAGCCCTACGAGGTGGAAAATCGATCTGCATGTGATAGAGAAAAGTACTCAGGGCAGGGAGAGAGGAAGTACGAGGTCCATATCGGAGTCACAGTTGGCCCTGGCATCCATGGCTTTTCTCCTCTGTCCCAGGCTTCAGTGGCTCCTCGCCCTCAGTCTCCGTGCTCTGTCACTCCGGCCTCCGGCTCAGGCAGTGCCATAAATGAACCCAGCCCGGGCTCTCAGCAGGCAGAAGTCACCTCTCTCCATTGCTTCCCATTGTCCCCTCTTTTAAGAGACACAGAGAGGAAACAAGAGAGGGACAGAGACGGAGACAGGGAGAGAGAGAGAGCACGACCGAGGCTTAAGATTGTCCTCAGGGATGGACAGGCAAGGGAGTGCAGAGGAGTTACCTACCAGAGGCCACAGCCATTTCTCTGGGTCTCAGAGACTGACCAAATTGAGTCCCTGGGTCCATACCTCATTCACTTTACTTTACCCCTACCCTCACCCCTTCTTAAAAGACTTGTCAGTAGCAAACAAACCAACCAACAAACAAGTCAGGTCCTGTTTGGGCCCATTTTTTATTTATTTTGAATAGGTAATACAGTCACATGGCTCAAATTTCAAAATATACAAAAGGGTATGGAGTGCTAAGTATCCTCCTTCCTCTTTCCCCATCCCTCCCCAAAAGCAACCAGTAGCACTGGTTTCTTCTGGATATGCATCTATAGTAAATATGTATAGTTTCCTCCTTTCTACCACACAAAGGCAAAGTGCACCACACACACTTCCGTGCCTTGCCGTTTTCACTGGAAGATCGTTCCCTATTAGTACACAGAGAGCGTTCTTGTTAGAGCTGCACAGTCCCGCATTGGAAGGCTGCGTAGGAGTTCACTTAACCAATCCTCAAGGAAAGGATGTTTCTGTAGTTTCCAATCTCTCACTATGGGCGCACTCGCCCCTCACCCAGAGCCCCTGAGGGACAGCATGGTGGGAGCCAGCCCCCCAGCTCATTTGCGTGGCCACAAGTGGTGGCCACTGGAGTTCCAAGGTCTCAGAGCTTCCCACCGTTGGCGCCCACCTGCCGTCCGTGTCTGCTGCTGCGGAGTCTGTGAGCTCACTGGTCACACACACGCCTGGCCCAGATGACCGCCCCTCATCACCCCGGTACCCACAGATCCACCTCAGATGCTAAATTGAGAGGCTGCCGTGAGACCATCCTTTGCCAGAAAGTGCAAAGCAGGCGAATACCAAGGGGCCGAGGGGACTTCCGGGAATTACAGCCTGCCCCAGGACAGGGGTGGGGACAATGCCTACTCCAGTCTGTGACAGACACAGGGAGACAGACAGGGATTGTCCTCTCAAACCAGATGTCCCTTGCATTTTGAGACTTCCACGGGCAGAGAGCCGGGAGAGGAGACCTAAGTTAGAAATGAAGACGAGGGGAGCATCGGGACAGAGGCACATCCTCTCAGGGCTGGGAGGGAAATCTGAGGCTGTAAGAACAGGTGGGAACAGGAAGAGGAGGCAATAGGCAAAGGAAGGAAGAGGGAGAGGAGGACTTGGATAAGAGGAATGTGGGCTAAGGACCCCCTTCTAGCTCATCCGTGGAGGCGTAGGCCTGGCAGGAACCCTGCCCTGGGGCTTCTAGGGGCCTATCCCCAGTGCAGCAACACCATCCTCACCTTCCAAGGAAGGGACTGAGGAGGCTCAGGAGATGGGTTAAAAAAAAACAGGGGAAAGCCGGAAAGCAAAAAACCAAAACCACAAAAAAACAGGGGTCTTCTGGGAAAAGCTTGGCCATCAGTCCGGGCTTCAGCTGGCCATTCTTCTCTCTGGGACAGGAACCCAGCAGGTCTGGGGTCAACAAAGCTGAGTCATGTCTCTGCCCCTACCCGGGTGCCAGGCATCACAGGCTCAGGATGCTCCCAGCAGGGAGGGGGTGTCAGGGAGGGCGATAGAGAGGGGGCCTGGGGAGAAGGGGACGCGGGGAGCTTTGGGGTGGAAAGAAGGAGAAGAAGAGGGCACCAGGCCGCCTGGCCCAGCACCTACCGCTCCTCTCCCCACGGACCCTGGCCCTGGGGTCCCTGGTCACATTCCCCGTCCCGGGGACCCCCTAGTTGTGAGAGAAGCCCCCATGGGAGAAGGCAGGGAGGTCTGGGGCACAGGCAGCAGCCTGGGGAAGGCAAGCCAGGGGGTTGACCTCGCAGGCCCTGGCATCCTGTTCCTCCCGGAAATAGACAGAATCCGCAGACTCGAAGGAGGGGTCCTGGTCAAAGAAGTTGTAGGGTCGGAGGAAGAAGCCCACACCATTCCCCACCGTCACCGTGTTGGGAACGTCTTCTGCGTGTGGGATGTGCAGGAAACCAGCTGTCACCCAGGCCACCAAGTCCTGGCAGGGGAGAAGAAAGAGGATCCTGAGGCCTGGCTTTGTGAAGGACAGGCCTGCCTCCTACAGCAGCCTTGGATGTGAGGATTCACCTTGCCAGCCCATTTTCCCTCAAAAGGATCTTAAGTCTTGAAGCAGTTTTTCCTACCGGCCCAGGAGTCAAAGCCCAGTCAATTTCATATTGGGAGCAAGCCCCACTTCCCTGTCCCAGCCTGGGCCCTCCATCTCTGACATTTCCCATCACAGCGCCATCACACCCACCCCCAGAGGTATGACACCCAGAGGAGACGACTTCAGCTCGCCTCTCCCTCACTCTCCAAGAGTTCCCTACCAATGACTGAGAGGAGGATGGAGCGGGGAGATCAGGGTTTAGGAGGCAGAAAAGGCTGACATTCAGAAATGAATCCTTCAGAGGTCAAGTCCGAAATGAAAGAAGCGCTAGACACAAGAGAGCTGGTCTTCCAGCCCTGCTTGAACCCTGGGGCCCGAAAAGGACAAAGTCCATGAAGCTAAGACTCAGAGAGCTGCAGGGTCTCCACGATGGGCTGGGGCCTCAGCCAGTGTCTGCAAATGAGCTCCCAGCTAGGGAAGATTCCCTCAGGAAGTAATGATTCGGGAAAGCACAGAAGGCAGGAGTCAGCTCCACCCCTCGGGAGGCCAGATGGTTTCAGGGAACTTAAGAGAAGGTGGGGCTCGCGCGCCTGGGGGGCTCGGTTGGTTAAGCAACTGCCTTCGGCTCAGGTCATGATCCTGGAGTCCCGGGATCGAGTCCCGCATCGGGCTCCCTGCTCAGCGGGGAGTGTGCTTCTCCCTCTGACCCTCCTCCCTCTCGTGCTCTCTGTCTCTCATTCTCTCTCTCTCAAATAAACAAAATCTTTAAAAAAAAAAAAAAGAGAGATAGAAGGTGGGGTTCGTCTCTGTGCCCTGGTCTCCCTCCCGTGACCCTCCCACAGTCAGCTGACCTCTCCAGCAACGGTCTCGTTGTTGATGAAGTCAGCGAAGTCCACGGTGGGGGCCCAAGGGTCGTTCTGATTGTAGATGCTGGTGCTGCTTTGCTCCGCCTCCTTCCGCTGGGTCACCGCCAGATGGTACCTAGGGAGGCACTGGTCAGGCCTCCATGGTCACTAACCCCGTCCTGCTGCCTGACTGTGATGATGGAAGGGGCCTGAGGTCATGGACCTCGGGCTTCCCATGTCATTCACACAATGACTTTGGTGCCACCCGGGTGGGTCGGCCAACCTCCTTCCACATCCTTCTGTTCGTCCCCCTGCCATTTCACAGGATGGCCTCTCCCCCCATCCAAAGTGGGGAAGCATTCTCTGGCCTGGGCCTTCGCCCTGCACAGACAGCCTAGACCCAGGGCTTGTGTTTCCATAACCGGGAAATCCTAATGGAGCTCTCACCTCTGCTCCAATACAGTTCGAACTGAGTTCCCAGTTGTCCTTCCCAACGCACTCTTCCCTCCCCCTCCTCCCCCAGCTTCTCTCTGACACCCCGCCACTCACCTCCCCCAGCTGAAGGCTCTCTCCAAGGAGCTGTTCTGCGGCAGTGGCTCCCCAGCAAAGCTGAGCAGCTGGATGCGGTAGCCCCGCGGGTGACCCCACTTGTTGCTGTGATTGCTGGCCAGGTACACGTAGCGGGGGGGGGGCGCCTCCCAGGGGGAAGGTGGCCTGCTCCTCGGTCTCCAGCAGCTTCCGGGTCACCTGCAGCCTCTGCATCTGGTGCTTGGGGCTCCAGGGCACCGGCGTGGGGACATAGGTCATGTCCTCAGCCCAGACCCAGTTCTCCAGTCCTGCGGTGGGGGGGGAGGTGGAGGCTGGTCATGCAGCTGCCCTGTGCCCTCTGGACTCTGTCCCCTCCCCGCCACTCACCACTTCAGAGTGGGGCCAAGGAGAAACCCAGAACGGAGTGTGTCCCTGCTTCCCTTCCCTCTCCCTAAGCTATGCCCGGTCTTTCGGCTAAAGCGGTTGACCTGTAAGGTATTTCTTCAGGGACTTCATTCACTAACCCTTCACACTTATCAGTGGAGAGGACTGGGCTCAGCCCTGGGAGGCACAGAGGAGTGAAGCCCCATCCCCTTCCTCCTGCTCTCCCGGAGGCTGCAGGAGGCAAAGCCCTGAGAGGCCAGCCGTGTGAGAAGAGCACAGTCAAGGTCCAAGGTCATGGATACAGGTGCAGGCAGAAAAGGGGCCTTCCTGGGTGCCTTTCAGCCTTGTCTCAGGAGACGTGAGTAGCAGAGATGACACAGCTGGGCGTTCTAGGCAGGGGGAGGGGGAACAGGAGCAAAAGCAGGAAGCCTGACTAACCTGTGGGGGGACGAGGAGGGTGTGGGCGTGGCTAAGGCAGCACTGGGGTGGGGGCCGGGGAGCCGAAGGGCAGGCTGGAGCTGCACTCTGAGGGGAAGGGCCTTCAAGGAAAGTTGGGGCTAGATGGGGGAGCAAGCCGGCCCCTGGATCTGAGAGGAAGAAGAGTGGAAGGGGCAGAGAGAAGGCCGGCCCAGCAAGGCTCTGACATGTCTCAGAGGCAGACTGCAAAAAAAAATGGGTGATCGACTCAATGTGGGGAAGGAAAGTGAGAAGACGGACTCTAAGACATCATGGATCTTTGGCTCTCTCTGTGACCACCAACCCCAGGAACTACCTGAACATTCCACGGCACCCACTCTATCCCCCTGCACTTAAGTGTGTGGTGCCCAGGGAAGAGCAGGGTTCACCTCCCCAGGAAATGTAAAACCTGCGGGGTTCCGGGGCTGGCCTGCGTGCACCAGGGACTTGGCAGGAGGCAGACAGGTCCTCCAAAACCTTGGCACCACAGGCCAGACACAGAGAAATGAACTACAAAACAACTGGTCGCCTCCCTGAAGTGGGGCCTCTAGGAGAACAAGGGAGGGATGAGGGCAAAGGGGATCTTGTGAGCCCAGATCCTGCCTCCTCCCTGAGCTTTGCCATTTCTCAAGATTTTCTGATGAGGTCATGTGGAGGGAGGGAGGCAGCTCTGCACCCAGTCAATGAGCTAGGATCCAAATAAAATGCAGCAGTCAGCTTTCTCCCATCCAGCTAAAGAGGAAGTACAGAACTCCAAAACTGCAACTCATGTTCAACTCTTCCTTTCCTGGATAACTTCCATAAATCCCAAAGCAAATAGACAACTTTTCAGTCCCCTCTTCCAGAATCCTTGCTTCCCCAGGGATGTCTTACCTCCTACATCCAGATCCACCTTGAAGTGGGCGCTGTGGGTATGGACGGTGCCCAGCGTTTGCTCCCCAACCTGGTTCCCGTACCTTCGGGCGGCACCAAAGAGGAACGCTGAGCTGATGTAGCCGGTGATGTGGAGTCGGACTTCTATGGCCCCACTGGAATGGAAGACCATATCCCACAGGTAGTCATAATTGAGCAAGGTCGACACAGATCGGACCACCAGCACTGTCTCTGCAAGGCCCCCAAAATAATGGGAGTAGAAATTTGAGTGGTGTCGCCTCAGGGGGAGGCCCTGGTTCTGTTCAAACACACAAATGGCATCACGTGTTGTCTTGGGGGTGTGGGATTCCAGCAGGAAGTGCCAGTCCACGTAGGTGGCCAGGTAGGGGCAGTCCACCCCCCGGGTCAGGGGAGTGGAGTACTTGCCCAGGCCAAAGCTGCCATCGATATAGCGGGTCAGCATTGCTGCAGGGGAATTTCCACCATAGATGGCCAAGGCCTCCTGGAGGCTGATCTCATAAGCTAGTCGTTCTCCCCGGAAGCGGATGTCAAAGATCCTGGGGCCGCTGAAAGCTCCAAGGCCAAAGGAGAAAGTCCACAACGAGGAGGTCACCCGGCTCCCCTGCACACTGAAGCGGGGGCCCTGGGGATGGACTTGCAGAGGAGGAGCCGGACCGGGAGGCCCCTGGGACTTGAGGGACCAGGACCCACCTGTGCCATTGTCTGGGATCAGCACCACGTTCACCAGGCCGGCCTCAAACTGGTCCTCCAGCTGGGCCAAACTCTCATAGTAGCGGCCTTGAAAGAACACCTTCTGGATGGCCCAGCGGGCAGGGTCCAGAGCCTTGTGGTCTACCAGCAGCTCCAACCCCACGGGGTGCAGGAAGAACCCAGCCCCTGAGATGTTGTAGTAGAGGCCAAACCAGGCGGCCCGGTCCCCTGACTGCAAGCCCCGGGGGGCCGTGGTCACCGTCACCAGGTTCTGTCCTGAGCGCTTATAGAAGCAGCAGTGGTGCAGGAGCCCGGCAGCCTGGGGCAGCTCTCTGCCGAAGATCAGCTGGTCTATGTCCAGGTACTCTCGCCTCAGCACGGGGCGGCGGTGGTAGGGCAGGGGGCCCCCGTGACGCTCCACCGTCACGTCCCGCAGGTAGGAGGGCCGGGGCAGTGGCCCCACCACCAGCTCACTCACGTTGGGCTGGGGT